ATGCAACTATAGGAAGGCGATTTGTAGGCTTAGTTTTTTGCCTCCAGGTACTATCCTGAAAAGAAGGAATTTAAGGAATTCAGATGAATAATCCTAAAAGTCAATTTTGCTGATATCTAGTTTAACTTTGCAATCTGGTCTCCAACTTTGAGGAGGCTTTTGGTATGTGCCTATTTGCAAAACACCGAACCTCTAGGTGCCTGTTTGTTCTCCCCATTTTAATCCTGAATTTCATAACCTGCCTTGTTTGGAAGTCCTGAAGGAAGTCCTATTGTTTGGAATAGAAGCTCACCTACATGCCTTTTATTTGGACTCAATAGATTGCCTTTTGCCAGACACTAAGTCACCTGTTGGAACTTGGCATATTACCTTTGGCAGAACACCCTAAATACTGATTGCCCACTCAGACAAAATTGACCTAGCAGCTGTCACTGTATTTCATGGACTCCAACTCTTCTTGGGCCCTGGTTTATGTTGCCTCCGGGCCCTAGCACAGCTATGCCTCCAGGTGTGTGGGCCTCCTATGGGTGCTTAGCACATTCAGTTTTGATCAGAATTCGACTAAATTCTATTTCTGTTACACACATCTAAAGATAGTTCGGGATCTATTTTCATTTTCCAACCTTTGATCTTATGTTGATAAATTTGGTCTCATAAAGATTTCATATTGTTCGGTGACTTTTCATTATTACATTCTTAAATCTATTAGTAAATGGAATAAAGGAAGAACAACATAGAGAGATGTAATGTGATTGATAAAAGGCCTAACGTTGATTTTTAAATACAAATCTTATTTGAAAAATTTTATATTTCCTTGTCCCTGCCAAAATACCTCAAATCATATCCTTTTGTCTTCCTGCTATAGTTTCACATGATATTTAAAGAAACAACTGTTTAGTGCAAAAGCCTTGAGAACAGGCAAACAGTAGATGTGTATACTATCAAATATAAAAGATAAATAAGCACCTGGTAGACTTCTAATTGTATTTTTAGATATGTTTCTATGGTTTAGGGCTTGGAGGTATAGTTGAATATAATTGGTAGGTCTTGGAATTTTCTTCAGGAAAGCAGCAAGTTTTCAAGACCATCACAGTTCAATACTATTAGTTTTGTCAATTATGTTTCACAGGTGACCTTTATAAGTCAAGATGAAGAGAGCTTTATCTTTTCAACATAAAATTTTGTATGCATCTAAACCAAAAGTCTGAGATGCACCAAGTTCTGTAGCTATAATCCACATTTTGTTTTTTTCTTCAATGAGTGTTAGGAGGAAAACAGACACACACAGGTTAAGAAAAGGAAACTAACCTTTGTTGTATGTTTACTGGGCCAGCCTTTGTGGAAAGCCTCAGTCACTGAAATTCTTAAAAGAATTTTTTAGAGTAAATTACTACTCCCATCTCACAGAGGATTATACATTTACAGAGATGTTAAATAATTTGTCCAGGATTATATAATGGCTAACAGGTGGTACCCACAGTTGTTGGGCTCATACAAAAAGCCAAGCAAGCTCTTTATCTTAAGCAGGTCTGAAATCTTGGAATTCCGTAACTGTACTAACCTTTGTCTGGTAAAACCTTTGTCCCTAATTTCCCAGGATGCAGAGTAATTATTTAGGCTTGTTACAGCCATATGGTGTCAAGCAGGACCATAATTTTCTTCTATAAGATGTTTCACGACAAACACTATGAGGAAAGATTGTAAACTATATCAATCAACCAGAAGATTGTAAGTCTCATGTCATTGTTTTGATGGTGGGAAAGACATATAGTGAGATAAAAGTGAATATTTATTACCCTATCTTTTATCTCATGTACTCTAATAAAATATAAATTAAGAGCAAAAAATCAAAAAACAAAATACATATCTGCTTGTAGGCAAGAAATTTTAGTGACTTTCATCTTGTATTCCAGCACCAAAAGAGACATTTTTCTTTATGTAATGCAGATAAATTTGAGTTTTACAATTGAGTTCTAGGTTTTCCTTCCTCTTGAATAGGAAGAAAATCATTCAAAATTTAGAATTATAAAGCTTAATTTTCCTTAGAACAAAAGTAATAAAAGTAAATGGCATGGTGAAAGTGTTATTAGAGGTGAAAGGATGTATTGTAAATGCTGGTTGATATCCTTTATCTAGGTTTAGCAGTTTTCAGCTCAATTAAACTGAAGTGGTAAAAGGAGCTTCATAGATAAAATATGCACAACAGGGTGAATGTATCTGCGATTTGCCTGTAGGAGCTTAGAAGCACTTTGCTGTTGTGCTTAACATCACTCAAGAGGGCACAGTCTTCAAGAGGAACCACTTCCTTTCTTTGTCAACAAAGACTGCCATATCAAAAGAGGATGGACTCTAAGAAACATTCAATCAACTCTCCCTTACTGATTCTCTGAGAAGTTATTTTAGAGGGTCTACCACTTTTTCATGACTTCATGAAATTCCAGAAGGATGAAGTTCAATCAGGTCATCATTATATAACAACCAATAGAAGTTTATCAGTTTTTCTCCCCTGATATAAACCCTTTTATGGATAGTAAATAATTTGAGAGATAGTTTTTTGTTATCTTTTCAGTGATACTAAATGAGGAAAATTTAAATTGTTACAACTAGAAATACAATATGACAAAGAAAAGATTTATTTGTAATTCTGTACTTTTGGGAAAAAAAGTGTAAAGAACAGATCAGTGCATAGCAAGGATAAATCAAAAGCACATCACTTTCAAGTAGATACATGTGACTTCTCAGGAAGAGACTGGCAAGCTGAAAATGAAATAATATGTGGTAAGGATGATATTACAAGTGAAAAAAGCCATTGTTGGTGAAAGAATGCCAAGTTCTTTAAATACTTACTCGTAAAAACATATCATTTTGGAGGATATATTAATTTACAACTTATTTAATATTTCAGTACGTTACACTGAAGCTCTTTTCACAATTATTATTTCTGTTCAAGCCCACTGTCAGAAATAAAAGAAGGACTTTTTTATTATTATTATTTTTACTTTTAAGCATAGGAAAAAAAATCTGTATCAAGGTAATCAAATCCATTGCTCTTGGAGTTTTTTGGGGGGTAGACTTATCAAATTCTCAAAGAAAATTTTCCTAGAACTAATGGAATTAGGTTACCTTTGAATTCTCACCCCAACTTTGAATAGTGACTAATTCCTTTCTTTGCTCTTTTGGTGTTTGCAAAGGGGTTCGCAAAAGCCTGAATTGATATAATTATTGGCTAGATTGTTAGAGATCTAGGCCAGATGGCTATGGGTTTCTAAAGTCCCCCTTGCTTGTGGTAGTTTTCCTAGTTTGCCTATAGGGTTTGGGGATCAGCAATTTGAAAGGGCTACAAACTTGTAAAACAGTATTATTCATGGGGGCAGAATGTTCATCAGCGTGACCCAGTACTAAATACATTCATTATAGGCATTTCTATTCTGCACAATTTGCCACACAGCACTGGTTTCAGGAGGGGGAAAAAAAGACAATGGCTTATAAAATGCTTTCGAATGCCTAAAAAGAAGGAGAATTCACGCTGAGACTCCTCTGCTTTCTTTTTTGGAACGAGCCTTCTTAGTGACTTTAGCTGAGCTCTGCTGAGAGTAAGCAAAGTGGAAAAATCAGAAAATTACTTTTTTTATATGTTTCTGGGGGGCAAAATAGAGTGGGGAAAAAAATGGTAAAAAGTGACAATGAGATTATGTGAAACAGCAACTATGCGAGTGGATGAAGACAGCTGAGGAATAATGCAAAAGGTATGAAAAAAAAAAAAAAAAAAACCAGCAAGAATGGAGCCACGACGATACACTTAAAAGGAATTGCAGAGCAGAAAGAACATCATAAATAATCTTATTTTCAAATAAGAATATCATATCAGTTTCTGTGACCTGGATAGAGCACAAGCCTCCCATGATACTTCCTAGCATTTTGATGCACACAAAATGCAATTTTCAGCTCAGGCATTTGATTTATCAGTGTAAACAAGCTTTGGGGTTTTTAAAATACGTATCTGAAGTGTTTTCATAAATAATGCATATATTATAAAAATTTGACTTGTAAACTATTGAGTCCATGTCCCCCCAGTATTCACTGCGAAGACTAGCCATGTATAGGCACTGCCTTTTGGTAGAAATTGGCATGCTAAAGCTTGCAGTGTCTTTTACCCAAGATAAATAGGATTTTTTTTGAAGTACAGGACAAAGAAATATTACAGTTTTGCCCAAACTCAAGGAAAGAAGTCATTCAAGGTAGAGCTATATTGTTAATTAGTTCCAAATTCTGAGGTGCTCCTTTAAGTCTTGCCAATTAAGAGAAATCAAGAGTGCAAGATAGCCCTTTTCTTATCTTCAAAGAATAAAGATGAAAGAAAACAGAAAATGAAACCTCTTTACTCGTTCTGTTCTTTAAAAACAGAGCCCCAAGACAATCTGCTTGTGCTCCTAGAAGGAGCAAGGCCCAAGTATTTACAGAGGGAGTGGGGAAGGAGGCGGTCTGAGAAGCATAATTAGAAGCAAGTTTTCAAATTGTATTAAATTCCTCCACCAACAAAACGCACTTAGAGGTATTTTAAGTTAAACTAGCACTTAAGGACTATGAAAAGCAAGATGATTACACGTCTGTGGCAGAAGAAAGAGCAATTAAGAAAACAAGAACAATTTAACGTGCCATATAAATAAAGGCGACCAGAAGTTGACTTAAAGTTTTTCTTCTGTAATTTGTCTCCCCTTTGTCATGGCACGCTCAGAGAAAGTGAATGCAGTAGATTGAAAGGCGGAGGGGGAGTGGGGAGGAAGAAGGAAGGAGCAGGGAAGGACTGGCTCCCATCTCCTCCCCCAGCCCCCACCAGCCCGTCTCCCCTTCTCTCCTTTGCGCCCCCGCCCCCTCCTTCCTCCTTCTCAGTCTCTTTCTCTCTCCCACCCTCCGCTCTCCCCCTCCCTCCTTGGGTGACTCCATCAGTTTTTGATTTGGAAGCACGCTGATTGGCTGGAAGCGATTCAACACACGCTGGGCAAGAGCTTTGTCTGAGTTGAAGTGAAGTTGTACAGATTTTAGACTGGAGTCAGCAATCACGGGTGTTTAGTCTGCAGCCGAGCAGCGAAAGGGAGAAAGAATCTCTCAGGAAAGACACACTGCAGACTCCGCCGGCACCCCGCAATAGATGGATTCCGACTACACAACGGCGAAAACGCGGAGGTGACACTCTTCTGCCTGGAAAGAGGACGAACGACCAAACAAACGCAAGGACTGGACTCCATGCCGAAGGTATCTGGAAGTCGTGACACGGTGTGTATAAAACAAAAGTTTGCGAGCTGTTAATTGCTGTGCTGTGTTATTAAGAGACGCTTTCAAGTTTCAAGTACCAAATGTAGCTTTAAGTTGCCAAAGGAAGTTGAGGGGATTGCTGTGCTGTTTTAACTTGCTCTGTGAGGGAAATCTCATAAACTGACCAATGCACCAAATGAATGCTAAAATGCACTTTAGGTTTGTTTTTGCACTCCTGATAGTATCTTTCAACCGCGATGTACTGGGCAAGAATTTGAAATACAGGATTTATGAGGAACAGAGGGTTGGATCAGTAATTGCAAGACTATCGGAGGATGTGGCTGATGTTTTATTGAAGCTACCTAATCCTTCTACTGTTCGATTTCGAGCCATGCAGAGGGGAAATTCTCCTCTACTTGTAGTAAATGAGGATAATGGGGAAATCAGCATTGGGGCTACAATTGACCGTGAACAACTATGCCAGAAAAACTTGAACTGTTCCATAGAGTTTGATGTGATCACTCTACCCACAGAGCATCTGCAGCTTTTCCATATTGAAGTTGAAGTGCTGGATATTAATGACAATTCTCCTCAGTTTTCAAGATCTATCATACCCATTGAGATATCTGAGAGTGCGGCAGTTGGGACTCGCATTCCCCTGGACAGTGCATTTGATCCAGATGTTGGGGAAAATTCCCTCCACACATACTCGCTCTCTACCAATGATTTTTTTAATATTGAGGTTCGGACCAGGACTGATGGAGCCAAGTATGCAGAACTCATAGTGGTCAGAGAGTTAGATCGGGAGCTGAAGTCAAGCTACGAGCTTCAGCTCACTGCCTCAGACATGGGAGTACCTCAGAGGTCTGGCTCATCCATACTAAAAATAAGCATTTCAGACTCCAATGACAACAGCCCTGCTTTTGAGCAGCAATCTTATATAATACAACTCTTAGAAAACTCCCCGATCGGCACTTTGCTCTTAGATCTGAATGCCACGGATCCAGATGAGGGCGCTAATGGGAAAATTGTATATTCCTTCAGCAGTCATGTGTCTCCCAAAATTATGGAGACTTTTAAAATTGATTCCGAAAGAGGACATTTGACTCTTTTCAAGCAAGTGGATTATGAAATCACCAAATCCTATGAGATTGATGTTCAGGCTCAAGATTTGGGTCCAAATTCAATCCCAGCCCATTGCAAAATTATCATTAAGGTTGTGGATGTTAATGACAATAAACCCGAAATTAACATCAACCTCATGTCCCCTGGAAAAGAAGAAATATCTTATATTTTTGAAGGGGATCCTATTGATACATTTGTTGCTTTGGTCAGAGTTCAGGACAAGGATTCTGGGCTGAATGGAGAAATAGTTTGTAAGCTTCATGGACATGGTCACTTTAAACTTCAGAAGACATATGAAAACAATTATTTAATCTTAACCAATGCCACACTGGATAGAGAAAAGAGATCTGAATATAGTTTGACTGTAATCGCTGAGGACAAGGGGACACCCAGTCTCTCTACAGTGAAACATTTTACAGTTCAAATCAATGATATCAACGACAATCCACCCCACTTCCAGAGAAGCCGATATGAATTTGTAATTTCAGAAAATAACTCGCCGGGGGCATATATCACCACTGTTACAGCCACAGATCCTGATCTTGGAGAAAATGGGCAAGTGACATACACCATCTTGGAGAGTTTTATTCTAGGAAGTTCCATAACTACGTATGTAACTATTGACCCATCTAATGGAGCCATCTATGCCCTCAGAATCTTTGATCACGAAGAAGTGAGCCAGATCACTTTTGTGGTAGAAGCGAGAGATGGAGGAAGCCCAAAGCAGCTGGTAAGCAATACCACAGTTGTGCTCACCATTATTGATGAAAATGACAACATTCCTGTGGTTATAGGGCCTGCATTGCGCAATAATACGGCAGAAATCACCATTCCCAAAGGGGCTGAAAGTGGCTTTCATGTCACAAGAATAAGGGCAATTGACAGAGATTCTGGTGTGAATGCTGAACTCAGCTGCGCCATAGTAGCAGGTAATGAGGAGAATATCTTCATAATTGATCCACGATCATGTGACATCCATACCAACGTGAGCATGGATTCTGTTCCCTACACAGAATGGGAGCTGTCAGTTATCATTCAGGACAAAGGCAATCCTCAGCTACATACCAAAGTCCTTCTGAAGTGCATGATCTTTGAATATGCAGAGTCAGTGACAAGTACAGCAATGACTTCAGTAAGCCAGGCATCCTTGGATGTCTCCATGATAATAATTATTTCCTTAGGAGCAATTTGTGCAGTGTTGTTGGTTATTATGGTGCTATTTGCAACTAGGTGCAACCGTGAGAAGAAAGACACTAGATCTTATAACTGCAGGGTGGCCGAATCAACTTACCAGCACCACCCAAAAAGGCCATCCCGGCAGATTCACAAAGGGGACATCACATTGGTGCCTACCATAAATGGCACTCTGCCCATCAGATCTCATCACAGATCGTCTCCATCTTCATCGCCTACCTTAGAAAGAGGGCAGATGGGCAGCCGGCAGAGTCACAACAGTCACCAGTCACTCAACAGTCTGGTGACAATCTCATCAAACCACGTGCCAGAGAATTTCTCATTAGAACTCACCCACGCCACTCCTGCTGTTGAGGTAAGATCATAAACCGCATCAATTCATTGCAATGTTAGGTGTTAGTGTTCAGGAATTGTGTTTACTAGTTCTTAAATGTTTTCAATAATAAGTAACAATACTAATACCGTGCAAATTAGTAGGATACAAGTTACATTGTGAATATGTAGCAAAGATGCACACTTTAGCATACTGTTTTTAGTTTTCCTTAAGTAATTAACTTGCATGTAATATGTATAATATTGAAAAATAAATATGAAGCTCACAAAGGAGTATGTAGAGTCCCCTTACTTCCCAGATTAAAATAATGGGAAGCCAAAAAGTAGAGACTTGCTTACTTTTCAAGGTTATAGTTTTTACTGAACAGATTAAAAAATTGAGGCCTTCAGACTTCTATTTCAATGCATGTTATGTTTGTCCAAGTTTGGAAGATTTCCTGACATTTTTAAACTACATGCGTTATAGTGTTGTATTTTACAGTATTTTCCATGTATTTTTACAGGTGATCACTTTATCTGAATTATAAAGAAAATAAATCAGTTATTTGAAAGGGAGTCTTCTTTCACAAAGTAAAAGTCAGTTGTATTAGATCATCCAAATCTCTCTGAGATATATTTTAGTTATAGTTGGCAGCTAGCTGCATGGTCCACCACAGTCCAGCATTTGCGAATCTTAAATAGAGATAATATGTTCAATTACTTACTTGAAATAGCAAGTAACTGTTTTTCATGCTTAAAGATTGTGAGTATTTGGAGGCTTGTTTCCAGGAATCAGTTCTGTCTATTTGGTTTCCAGCAGGTCTCTCAGCTTCTTTCAATGCTTCACCAGGGGCAATATCAACCAAGACCAAGTTTTCGAGGAAACAAATATTCCAGGAGCTATAGGTATGAATTATTCTTGTGTTACCTATTAAGTCTCAGCATAAATGCTGAAGAGTAAAAACTGTAATTTTTTTTTTTCTGATTTATCTTTCCAGATATGCCCTTCAAGACATGGACAAATTTAGCTTGAAAGACAGTGGCCGTGGTGACAGTGAGGCGGGAGACAGTGATTATGATTTGGGGCGAGATTCTCCAATAGATAGGCTGCTGGGTGAAGGATTCAGCGACCTGTTTCTCACAGATGGAAGAATTCCAGCAGGTAAGAGGGTAGTGATAGATAAATCTTTATTTTCAGGTCTACCGTGATACCAGTAAAATGAAAAATTTCTCTCATGCTTATATTTCTTCTTTATTTGTCCCTTGCACTGAAGTATTTATAATATGTTTTATAGTATATTCATCACTGTTTAGTAATGAACAGAAACTGAAACATTTTAACACTATTTTCTTAAATTTCATTAAGCTGTTGGAAGAGAAAGAGTAAGCATGACAGCTTCATAGGACAAGAAGAAAGGGGTGAGGAAAAATAAAAATAAAATAAAAAAAACCCACTTCCCTCCTCTTTCCACCTCATCTGATACAGCCATAGAACATGGTTGTGCAACTCTTTGCAAAATTATGGGGTGGTGGTTTTTATTCAGTTAAACTGTTTTGGCGCACAGTGGTGAACTGGACTGTAATTTGGAGGATGCATTTCCTGTGATGGGCACCAACTCACAAAAGCAGAGACTAAAATACGCTAGAAATTGTACACTTCAAGCATTAAAAATAGGAGAAGGAATGCATCTTTGTAGGTGGTAAGCACAGAATATTTTTGCCAACATTTCATTTTGCTATAGTAGAAGAGGAACAAGGACCCAAGAGTGGAATTTTTAAGTACACAGCTAGATAGAAAAGATGCTATTAAGTTTCGAACCACGTTTTCCTTGGAGTTTCTTCCCTCTAATTCTGCAACAGAAACTCTCTGAACTGAGTAAATACTGATTATATTATCCTAGCAGCACCACTACTAAAGACTTCAATGTGAAATCAACCTTAGGAATACATACGTGTGTTCCTTTGGCTACCTATATTTCCAAGTTTCACTGAATGTGGATCAATGACTGCCATTTGATGTATGAAAGACAGAACAACACAATATCACCCATCTTAATTCCACTGCACCTCTATTTTTAAATACAGATAAGTAAGAGAGTTTAGGAAATAAACACGAGGGAGCCTCAGACAGCTACAGGAATTCAAGAAAATCAATATAGCTGACATTCTATATCTGCAGGTTCCACATCTATAGATTCAACCAACTGTTAATCGAAAGTATTTGGATTAAACAATAAAAAATATTAATACAACAATTAAAAAAACCAAATAAAAAACAATACAGTATAACAGCTATTTATATAACATTTACATTTATTAGGTATTTTTAGTAACCTAGAGAAGATTTAAAGTATTTGGGAGGATGTGCATAGGCTCTATGTAACAGCTATACCACTTTATATAAGCAACCCAATTTTGGTATCCACAGGGGGCCTGGACCATCCCCTTTGGTCCTTGGACCATACCGAAGGACCACTGTGAATAGAAACTCGAGCACTCATAAGTGAAGTAGTGATGGCAGTAGCCAGAGCGGTGTTAATATTAGGAATAGTAGTAGCAATAGTAGTTACCAACTATGCCCCCAGGTTTACTCCAGGCCCATGCAGAGTTTGATACCTGCACTGCCTCTTCTAAGGCTTTGCCAGGAATTAGTAGTAGTGACAGTAGTAACAGGCTTCTATTTTGTTGTTGTTGTTGTTAAGCTTTGGAAACTGAAACTTATAAAGGTTAGAAAATGCATCTCAAATCAGGCAGTATGTACATTGGAGAGTGAGATTTGAGACAACCCCCACACTCTTAAACAGTAATCAATCAAGTATGTGAAGAAACAGGTTTTTGCTGTTGTAGCAATTGTTTTTAAACAGAGTGTCCTAATATTCTTATGTTCTAGAGACGACATACCCCGTAACTATTAAATGTTGATTATTTACTTCTGTTATTACAGTAATAGATACTATAATACATCTCACAGGATGAATGTATAGGGGGAACTTCTAGAGACAATAAAGCATACAGTGTACCTGAGAGCCTGTTTGCACAATCATGGTGTCCGGTTTTTGTTTCTGTTTTTAATGCATAGACTTTCTTGGCCAATTTGAAGATAAATCTCTGAAAATTTAGTGGAATATATTTAGAATCAGACACGTTGCTCAAAGAGAATCAGTTTCATTATTCTTACCTGGGTAATAAAGGAGTTGGCTAAACTACAGTTTTGTGATCCTGACAGAACCCTAATTTTGAGTATTAATCCTTGATTTTAAATAATGTAATTTCATTTCATTAAACAGAAAAGTAACATAGTGGGCATGATATCAATATTGTATTGTATATTTTTAGATTTGTATAATGTTTATTCATTGAAATTTAAATTTATCAGCATAGTTAACTGAATAGCTGCTCTAATTACATAATCTTGGCATTTTCGGGACTAAATGATCCTAAAGTCCCTTTTAATTCTGAAATTGTATAAACCTAATAGCTAATTATAAGTTTCTTTTTTTTTTAGGTCAAAGTTATTTTACTTTTTCTTATATTTTCTAAGTTGCCACCTCCACGTAAGTTTGTGGCAAGAAAGTTTTCTAGCACTTGGAGTAAATAATAATAATAATTGCAATAATAATGATATATGTTAAGGAATAATGACATTGGGGAAACAATAGGTAGACATAAACTGTAGAAAACAGTGAATTGTGTTTAGTGAGTGGCATTAAGCTCCATCAGTATCACATTTCTTTTCAAAATTAGGAGTTCACCTTTATATCATCATTAATAATTCCACTTATTATGAGATAATTTTTTAAAAAACAATCTCATATTTGCACAACACATTTAACTGTGGGTGTGGTTGGAGAGTTATTTTGCTCATGCATAACATTGTATTACAACAAAATATATTACAGTAGATACATTTCTGCCTTACTAGGTACCTGCCTCCATCTGAGGTGTGGTCAAAGCTATCCTGGAGGCATAGAGCACCAGGAGGTCACCAATGGGCCACAAAGTATATTCATGTTTGACTACTGTAGACTCCAATATGTGTAATGAGTATCTATACAAAGATAGCTACCCCTTATTTATATAATTTTGATGACACATATTCCAGTTTATTATTTAACCCGGCAACTTCTGGAGGCACATTAGAGTGTAAAGCCTGTGCTTTGTAAATTTATATTCCCAGGAAATATCCCAAGTAGAGAAAAATGTAAGTCCACATCTGAATGCCATTAAAAGAGATCAGCACAGTTTCCAAAGCATTTATATTTCTAGGACTAAAGTGTCTTGGTCCAACTGTTTTTCTGCCTTAGACTTTGAACAAATACAGATTATGTTATGTTGCACTGCCTGCCAACAGGGTCATTTCTGGTCATTCATGCTATTAATTCCCACACAAATATCCTGCATTTTGAGCAGTTAAATCGGTATGCATTTTTTGTCTGTTGGCTCATGTTTGCCAACATACTTTCTTACTCATTCAACTTTGAACTATAACACTAAGCATATGCCTGCAAAAATCCCCATTTTCCATTGCATTCACTTCACCAAGATGATTCATACAGCCGTTTGATTTTGTTTCTTGTGATACTCATTTTTCTTGATTGAGTCCAATCCACTTTTCATCAGTCTGTCATCTCTGATTACTTACTTTAAACATTCTTTTAAAATTCTATGTTCTCTCCTTTCTCATGGCAGGTATCCATGAAAGCCCATCCGTTCTGGCCTTTCTTCCATGACTAGTTTAGTGTATCAGTGTGCAAACTGATATTCACTCTCTAGTAGTTCCTCCCTTTGTCAAATCTTTCTTTCATACAGCTTGAACAACATTTTGAGAACATTTTAATCTACATTTTTTTGCTCAAAATCAATACTTGTTGCCCAGCAACACTGAACTAAATAAACTATTTATCTTGGCATTCAAAGGGCAATGGGATCCTCTCTTAACTTATTAACTCTCCTATGTTGCCATCTTTGTATCTTTTGTTATAGCTAGAAGCATCTCCTCACTTCACACACTGATGCTTTGCTCATGGTGTCCTTCCTACCTGAAAAGCTGCCTTCTCGTCACTTTGTGTAACTGACTCCTATTCATCTTTCAAAGTTTGTCTTTCTTTAACTATTTCAGCTTCACCTCCACTTTTTTTTCCTTTCTTGACATGCCCTTAGCATCATCTAATTTGACACTTTACTTGTGCTTATGACCCCATTTGCTACACTTTATTTATAGCTATATCTTTTTAAAACTTTTGAGGGCGGGGTGCTATTGTTGCACTTCACATGTAGCAGACTCCTAATGGATAACTGATTGATCACCTGATTACTAATGGCTTGATAGAAGCAAGGCATACATATTTCTTATATATCTGCTTTGTGCCCTACCAATAAGGTGCAGTGCAGTGACAAAATCCATAGTCTTCTAGTGGTAAAGAAGATGCTCTCATTTCACCATGTGCCCCCTCCCCAGGGGACACTTAACTACCTAGCAGAGCTTTCAAGGAGCAACAGAAAGATTAGCCACTTGGACTACTTGTCAACAAGCCCTGATCACTGGGATATAGTATGGAACATTTGTGGCACTAAATTACTTACAGATTGAGAATGTTTTCAGTCAAGTCCCTGGGGACAAGGTTGACAATATCAACGAAGTTGCAAGAAATGCCCTCTTCTGCACCATTACTCTTCTCTTTCTCTTATTTTTTTGTCATCCTTCCCTCCATTAGTGTTTCCTCATCAATTTTTCTTATTATTTTTCATTTTTAAGTTAATTTATTATTTTATAATTAAAGCTCCACTTACTTATTGGGATGAAGTTGCAAATAACATTCACTGTTTAAAAATTTCTATGACCAAACTTATTTTTGAGCATGAACTTTCAGATTGCGTTAGTTACCTAGATTGTATTTTTGCACTGTATTGTTGGTTTTATGTGTATTATATTTAGGTCTTTAGAAAACTAGGTCGTTTTCAGTATTCTTAGAAGCCTATGTAATTTATCATTTCCCTCCAATCATTAAGCATTAAAATAAAGTGAATCAAACAACTAAGCCCTTCCCAAGCCTAAAGCTACTGAGTTAAAGGATAGAAAATAAATGAAGTGGTGTCAGCAGGTCTGTTCTTCTTCCTTCTAACAGGATATGAGTAAGACAATAGAGACAGGTCTAAGTTCCATTTTCAGAGACCTGGGGAATTAAGAAGGCAAAAAAAAATCATTACCACTATGATTGTTATTTCGCTGCTGAGAAAACCTCATTGCTATTAAATTATTCCAATGACTTTCAACCCCTTTCGTTTTGTCCACATCAAATTAAAAAAAAAAAAAAAGTTAGTAAATATTTCCAAGTAGTAATAATGCATGAAGTCAGGAAATCTAGACAAGCTTTTATTCTTAAATCATCCTTGTCTATTTAAATGTAACCGTTCATAACAAATAGCACAATTTTTCTTCATGCTTACCCTCTTTCTCTTTCCCCACCTTGATTCACATGGAATTGATGTTCACACTTTTCTCCACTTTTTTTCTGCTTCATTGTATTTCTAGTTTTCTTAGTGATTCAGCTTTTTTCTCACTCACAATACTTGATCTCATTTTGTTCCTCAAATTATCCCCTTTTTCATTAAAACTTGAAGTCCATATTTGGGACTCTTGCAGTTTAAGAACAGAATTATCTCAAAGATTCAAGCAGAGAAAAGCAGCAATTTCTACCCCTTCAATCAAAGACCATTACTTCTTTTTTTTTTTTTTTTTTTTCAGAAAGTCAACATTATTTTCTTCATGTTTTATTTAGAAAACATGTAGTGAATACCTACTGTATGCAGGCATTTTACCAGTTGCTAGTGATACCACAGTAACTGCAATAGACAACTTCTTTCCTCTAATAAGGGAACGGGCTTCCTTCAAGAATCACCCTTTTAGCAATTATTTCGGAGGAAGAGGAATCTTCCTAAATTAAATGAATCTACAAAATTAGCTCTTAATATATACGTATAGCTAATAACAACCTAATGTTGTTTTAAATCTAACAGAATTATTTTGCATTTTCTGCATTCTGCTATTTGCTCTAAAATGAAATCATAATGCTGAAGAGACTTACTTCTCACTGAAATAAGTCAATGGTTTGTAGAGTATATTTTGCATCTTTTCATTTCCTTGTCATGTATCTTAGTTATTGTATTTGCCAAATATAGAGGGTTTTATTCCTTTTTATTTTCCTGCTTTTCTCATATCATCTATTCTTTTTCCTATGAGTGTGGCCACTCATATTCCAATAGAGCATTAGAACATCTGTAAGAACTAAAGATTGAATTTTTCATATTCTTCATCTTTTGATGACATTTTTATATATTTGAATATCGATATATTTTGAATCTTTAAAAGAAAACTTCTTAAGAGGGTAATTGCAGATGACCACCCAGTAGCTCAGGATACTTTTCACTACTGTTTTAAGTAATAAATCCATAAATAATTTGTAATATCTTTAAGAGAGATTAATAAGTATGATTACCTTATAGCTTATTATATTCTCATTGCTTCCATTAAAACTAAAGTAATATTGAGAAAGTTACACAAAGGTATGTATTACACAAGAATTATATGAGTGGCATTCTAAAGTTATAGGTTTCACCTTACAAGTCTGTTCTTTAGAATTTATGATCAGTACTTATTTCATCACTGACACCTAGTTCTTCCCACGTATACGTTATCAACCCGTCTTCTCATTATTCGAGTAGCAGAATGTTCTTATTTGACCAATAAGGAAAAAAACACACCAGAAGATAACACTTATGGAGGTCTATAAAACTGGTGTTCAAATTAAAGCCATAATTGTAGTCCAGTTTATGTGTATAATAATAGGTTGGCATCATGGCAATAGTTTAAAACTGTCTCATTCTATTTTTTATTATAAAATTACATTTTTGCATTATTTTGAATCGTGCTAAGTATAATAATGAAACCCCATTGTTTTTCTTGAGTGCAGCTATGAGGCTCTGCACGGAGGAGTGCAGGGTCCTGGGACACTCTGACCAGTGCTGGATGCCACCACTGCCCTCACCATCTTCCGATTATAGGAGTAACATGTTCATTCCAGGGGAAGAATTCCCAACACAACCACAGCAGCAGCATCCACATCAGAGTCTTGAGGATGACGCTCAGCCTGCAGATTCCGGTGAAAAGAAGAAGAGTTTTTCTACCTTTGGAAAGGACTCCCCAAGCGATGAGGACACTGGGGATACCAGCACATCATCTCTGCTCTCGGAAATGAGCAGCGTGTTCCAGCGTCTCTTACCCCCTTCCCTGGACACCTATTCTGAATGCAGTGAGGTGGATCGGTCCAATTCCCTGGAACGCAGGAAGGGACCCTTGCCAGCCAAAACTGTGGGTTACCCACAGGGGGTAGCGGCATGGGCAGCCAGTACACATTTTCAAAATCCCACCAACAACTGTGGGCCGCCACTTGGAACTCACTCCAGTGTGCAGCCTTCTTCAAAATGGCTGCCAGCCATGGAGGAGATCCCTGAAAATTATGAAGAAGATGATTTTGACAATGTGCTCAACCACCTCAATGATGGGAAACACGAACTCATGGATGCCAGTGAACTGGTGGCAGAGATTAACAAACTGCTTCAAGATGTCCGCCAGAGCTAGGAGATTTTAGCGAAGCATTTTTGTTTCCATGTTTATGGAAATAGGGAACAACAACAACAACAACAACAAAACCCGAAAGAACTGGCATTGCCAAATAGTTGCATTTATCATAAATGTGTCTGTGTATATTGAATATTAAATACTGTATTTTCGTATGTACACAATGCAAGTGTGATTATTTTAATCTGTATTTTAAAAATACATTTGTACCTTATATTTATGTGTAATTTAACAAACAAATTTTATTTTTTTACTCCCATGACAGACATGTTTTTCCTAATCATGTAGAAACTAGCCACTGTTCATATCTGATATACTATTGAACCACAAAGTGTAAAGGCACTGCTCTGCTTAGATTAGTTTCGTTGGGGAAGAATTATTATGTTGTATGAACAACCCCACTAAAGCATTATACAATTCTTAATTCCATTAAGTGATCCCACTTTTTTTCAGTAACTTTTTAGAAATTAAGAATCATTAAAATTGTTAGGCTATTTTATTGTTATTTTCGCTACTTTCTACTAGCCCCAATAGTTGAACTCTTACAGCAAAATCGAAACATAAAGTGAAAGTTTATTTCAGGACTGAGAAATATCTTGAAGGTTATTTATTAGATGGCTATCTCAAATGAACTTTTTATAGACAACGATGAAAACAGAACTAAAGTCAATGTTTCCTGACTCCCAGGCTCCTACTATTCCAGGCCATCACACTGGCCTGTTCCTGAGAATATTTCTCTCAGAATATTGTTATCTACTTACAATTAGGATAAACTATAAATTTTATTCTATCCTTGTAGTACGAAACATGCTCCAAGGAAATGGAATCTGTCCTTTAAATGGATAACAGTATGTATTCTAATGGCATAAAATATTACTGGATAAAAACAATTATGTCAGTGTCTCTCCTAGGATAGTAAATATAATTGACTTATTCTGAACCCATTCTATTTTGAATCTTCCCCCTTTCCTCTCACAATACTTGAACATTTTAATCTTTTGGAATGTTGTCTTTTTTTGTTATAACTATTCATTTTTAGCTTTTGTCTCCAGTGCATGATCTCATATTTTTGCTTTTATTTTTAGTATAAGAACATTTATGAAATCACATTTTTGTTATTGCAATTGTTTTATTTGTTGTGTGGTAAATGAGAAATCCTTTATTTATTGTGCTGTGATCTCTCTGTGTGGAATGCCTTGGTAAGAGAGATGCTTATTATGACTATTATCATTTCTGACCAAGCTTCTATTAATGTTATTTCTAATAATACACTATCTTGATTGTACTCTCCAGAAAATTTTACTGTCAGTGAAAATAAAAGAAAAATTAAAGTAAAGCTAAGGAACTGTCTATAAGTCAGAGTCCTGTTCCTATATATTTGTTCAAAAGCTTGGCGTGCAGCATGCCCTTCCTGAGAGGGTGATTCAGTGTTGAGTTTCAAATAATAAACATGCAGCATTCAGTTGGCTGGGCAAACAAGAAAAACACAATTCAAAAGGAATGAGTTTGAGACTTGTAATGGGAATGAAAGTAGTAAGCCATATTCCAGTTAAATAAGTTAAATGCATTTGGGGAATAAAGAAAATAGAGTAAGCAAGCAATAACCGCTTGAGTATTTTTCAAATTACAAAAAATAAATAAATAAATAAATACATAACTTTCTCAGGACATTTTGTATTAAATTGTGCAGGATAAAAAGGTATCCTTACAATGTTTCCAGGAGGCAAGAATATTATCCTCCCTGGCTTGCTAGTCGGAAATTGAAACACTGGGAAAGTTAAGTAACTGAAAAGTGACTAAAATTCAGATATTTGAATTCTCAAATGAGTACCACATTAAACAGAATATATTACCTCTTTCAACAGGCACATTTTCCTTTATAGGAGGATTGTAATTACAAGTGGAATTTCAGTTTATTTTTCATAGATTACACACAAAACGCTAACCATATTTAAATACATTCTGCCTTTCAACTTCATTTCCTTTCAGTATATATTACCATTAAGAAAAAGACTTTTATATCCTCACTGTTCTTAACTTAAAGCACCAGCAGTAATATGGTAAGCTATGCTGAAAATTGCTATTTTGAATCATGTGAAATAAATAAAATGCAATATTTCATTCAATACAAAATTTTTGTACATTGTTCATATTCCAATAATTTCATGTCTCAAATTCCCTTGCTTCTCCAGTCATCTCCATTTATTATTGCTTCCCATGTCCACAGATTAAGAGAAAAAAAGTGCAAGATTTCAGCTTTTTGCTTCTGTTCCTTTCACCAAGTAATATCCTTTTAGTGAAAACTGGGATGTCCGATGCTATCATAGCAACCTAATCTCTCATCAAGTTTATATCACCTCTTTTTTGATACCCTACCCTTCCTCAGATTGAAACAACAAAAATATTCTTTCTTAAACTTTCTTTCCTCCATTTATTATTTTTAATCCCTTTAGCTCCACTGGATTATTTGAAATGTTCTTCAATGATAATCACCTATTAAGGAAATTATCTTCCAAAAATGTAACTCAAAACTGAATCTACTGCTTAACAAATCCTCCTTAAATGCTTGTTTATAAAATGATGAGAATTAGCTTTCTTCAAATTCTTACAAGTTATTAACATTGTTATTCATTGCTCATTGATTTACTTATTGATCTTAGTAGATGGGGCTTATAACATTGTTAATCATTTAAATTATTGCTCCTCCTGTCTCAAATATTTAAATTTGCCACTTACCAATAGATAACTATTAAGGTAAAAAGATGAGTGAGTTATTAAGTTATTGTGTTATTGAAGTCACTGAAGAAGTCACATTTATGAAAATCAGCTTAGTTTCTCTGTTTCATTCTTTTGATACTGATGGTCAGAAAATATTCAAAGGTGAATTTGAAATATTGACACATTAAAATTTAAAGAATTGTAGATCTATTTTAAAAATAAGCAATATTATACTGGATTACTTGTACGAGTGAAAAGTGCATTGTCTGACATGGCAGCTTTCAGTATGGCAGAATCTAATAGAATTGTCCCAAGACTGTCTTACATGTTTTGATATTTCTGTTCCATTTCAGTATATCTGGAAAATGTATCATCACAAGAATGAAACAATAAAACTAAGCTGATTTTCATAAATGTGACTTCTTCAGTGACTTCAAAACTTAAGGATATACTGAACCTGAATAAGCAATACATATTGCTGTATAAAAATTAAAATCTGGGCCAGGCGTGGTGGCTCACACCTGTAATCCCAGTACTTTGAGAGGCTGAGGCGGGTAGTCAGGAGTTTGAGACCAGCCTGGCCAATATGGTGAAACCCTGTTTCTACTAAAAGTACAAAAGTTAGCTGGGCATGGTGGTACATGCCTGTAGCCCCAGCTACTCAAGAGCTGAGGCAGAAGAATCACTGAACCCAGGAGGCGCAGTTGCAGCGAGTCAGATTGCAGCCACTGAACTCCAGTCTGGTGACAGACGAGACTGTCTCAAAAAAAAAATACATAACAAAAAATAAAAAAAAGTAAATTAACCAGGTTAGGTGGTGTGTGCCTGTAGTCCAGCTACTTGGGAGGCGAGGCAGGAAGACCACTTGAATCTGGGAGGCAGAGGTTGCCAGTGAGCCAAGATCAAGCCACTGTACTCCACCTGGCAACAGAGCAAGACTGTCTCAAAAAAAAAAAAAAGAAAAAAGAAAAAAACACAGGCAGATCACCTGAGGTTGGGAGTTTGGAGACCAGCCTGGCCAACATGGTGAAACTCCATCTCCACTAAAAATCACAAACTTAGCCCGGCATGGTGGCACGTGCCTGTAATCCCAGCTACTTGGGAGGCTGAGGCAGGAGAGATGGTCACTTGAACCTTGGGGCTGGAGGTTACAGTGAACTGAGATTGTAGCACTTCACTCCAGCCTGGGCTACAGATAAGACTCCATCTCAAATAAAATAAATAAATAAGAATAATAAAATCCAACCATATGAGGCTGGGCACGGTGGCTCACGCCTGTAATCCCAGCACTTTGGAGGCCAAGACAGGCAGATCATCTGAGGTCAGGAGTTCAAGACCAGCCTGGCCAACATGGAGAACTAAGTTCTCACTAAAAAATACAAAAATTAGCCGGGCGTGGTGACGCACGCCTGTAATCCCAGCTACCCGGTAGACTGAGACTGGGAGAATCACTTGAACCCTGAGAGGTGGAGGTTGCAGTGAGCTGAGGTCGAGCAAAGCTGCACTCCAGCCTGAGCAACAGAGCAAGAAACTGCCACTCAAAAAAAAAAAAAAAAAAGAAAAGAAAAGAAAAAAAATTCAATCATATGAAAGTCTTCAAGATTTGGGCCAGTTTAAAAAAGAATAAAAACAGCACAGACATTTCAAAAGAACAGCACATTTGAATTCCTTAATTGCAGGTTGAACGCCCAAGATAAAGCCACCTTTACATTTATAAGCTGTTTTCAGTTGTGACAGTGTAAGATGTCATACTGATTGTAATCATTTATAATAGTTGGATTTCTCTGTGAATGATAGCAATAATACTGTATGAAGTTTTAATTTGATAAATTAGGCTATTTGGGCCACTGAAGGATCATCTGGTTCAGTTAAGTTCCTAGAATAAACCTAGTCACTATTTCTGAGATAATTAAATGATATTTACATGGAAATCGAAAATACTGTATTGCCTAAATTATGGTTTCATTCTTTATCTGTGTAACTAGAGGTCATAGTCAAGTATATACACTCTTACTACCAGAAAAAATAGAGACCCTTAATATGATCTAATACCAAAAAATAATTAAATAGGTAGACACTATATGTAGTGTCTAGATGTAGAAGTGGTAGTGAATATTCCTTATTAATTTATTATATTTTTATTATATGTTTGCAAATATAACTTGTAGCACTGTTGAACACATTTTATGAGGAGCCAGCATCACAAAAATTGCTACCAAAATTTACATACTTTCTGACTTTTAAAATTGCTATAACACATCTTACTCTGGCACTTTAAAATAATAGTTTTCTATTTCCTTTTATGACTTCTGCAAGATGCTCCTAATTCTTGTTTGCTTTTTCTGATTTTATCTCTTCAATGTTTTTATTTAATGGTATTCTTCCTTGATAATTCATACTACTGTCCACATTTTATAGCATTCTTCTCCAAATTTTCACATTTGTAGAGTTCCTCATATAACCACCTAGATTTTATATTTTTTTATGTCTTTTCTTTGTTATTGATACAATAGGGATCATAATTTTGATATATAAAGAGAATACATTTTGTTCTCAATAAAACTTGCTCCTATGATTCATTGGTTTAATGAGAAGGTAAATTCATGCAATCAAGAACAAAGGGTCATTTCTTTTTTTTCTAAGTTTTAAATTAAATATTTTCGAGTGCCTAGAAAGAAACTAGTGTAGAAAATGTGGCTTATTGAGGGAGGAAATCATTTTCTTTTAAATGTAAAACACTTCTCTTTTTGTATTAAGGGTTGGAATGGTGAGGCTGGAATTTTACTATAAATCAAAGTGAAGTGCAGGAAGAAAACAGAATAGCAAATAAGAAAGGCCCCTTGCCACAGAACAGAATGATAACTTAGCTAATTGTTGGGAGGATAAAGCCCTAGGGGTGAATAAATTGAGAAGGATAAAATCAGATGTTAGTATATTTTTTATTCCCACTGCCAACGATCTCTAGAAGAAATTACAGAACAAAACTTTGAAAGTGATAATTTTTGTTTCCCTGACCCTCATGGCACAGGAGAGCAGACATGGAAGGAAGTGGTGCCAAGGTGTTTGCCTCTGAGAAATCTCTTCCTCCTCAGTGCCTTTGGATGGATGTGTGGCCTATGAGAGACTCAGGCTTTACTCCTTGATGAAATGGGGGAAGGGTTGATACTATAAGCCCTATTATATTTCAAAGTGCTTTTATCTAAATGAAGGCAGACTTTCTAAAACCCCAGGTACATTCCTGTTTTATTAAAAGGTACATTCTACCGTTTAAAATAGCTAACCACAAAATATTCTAGACATAAGAAGCATAGACCTTTCCTTTGGAAGTAGGCCTTTGTGTTAGACAGTGCTTTAGGTTCTAAATTATCTGCAAAACTGCCAGTAAATCTTGTTACATATGAAGCAATAAATCCCAAATATGCAACTAATAATGTTTTATGAATTCTAACCAGAAAAATGTTTTGCCAGTCCCTGCTTTGTGATTTGTATTTCTTCTGCAAACTCATGCCTAGAGGCTGTCAGTGTGGATTTTGTGAGCTTCCTCTACAAACTTTTGGTATTTGTTGAGCGTTTTGGGTGGCAAATACACGAGATGGTAATGAGCAAAGTGTCTCTATGGGAGATGGCTACGGAGGACCAGCTGTACCACTGACTCAGTCCACTCACTGCTTTTTCTCCCATGCCTTTGTCCTCATTTTCTCCTTGGGTAGCATCTTAGTAGAAAGGCAGTGTATAATCATTCCTTTGTTCAATAAGTAATTATTGTGCACTTACTATGCCTGAGACACTGTTGTAGGTGTGCTGTAATACACTGATGAACAAAACAGACAAAAAAGAGAGGAAGAGCAAAGCCTGCAGTACCAGTCCATGACTGTCATGACAGGCCAGGCCCACACCATCATATCAGTACAAGCAGATACTTTCCATCAGGTATAATGAGCAGTAGAAGGACAGAGACATGACCCGAAGTCCTGCTTTACTTACCAGTTCATCCCTCGACCATTACAGATGCTTAACAACTATGTTGAATATGTCAATGACTGTATGCTTCATGTTGAACCCATATGCTACCTTGGAAGAAAGACTAAAAGTATGACTGCATTCCTATCATTAAAAACTGAGTTATTACTTAAATGCTCTTAAATATTAAAGCAGGGGGAACTAGAATAACATTGATTGACAGCATTCAGTGTTTTCTGCCAGCAGGAGGAATTGGAAATCAAGAAAAGCTAAGACCAGAAAGGATATATGTCAACTTCTTTTTCACTTTTCTAAGGACAATTCAGATACTTGGAATATTTACCCTTTTCTCTGGGCATTTTTCCTAGATTAGGTGGTGTAATAGAAATTTCTAAGTTGATGTTTCAGCTCCACCCTTTATGGCAGTGTGACTGATCATGTCACACAACAAGTGT